AAAAAAAAAAAAAAAACATGCACCCAGATGTGTTACAGCTGTTACAGTGATGTGCATTTACTGATGTGAAATGACACGGACAGCCCATAAGGTTTCAATAGCACAAGGAGAATGTTCATTTATCTCTGTTCAAACCTGTATCTCCTTTCTTAACATGTTGCCTAATCTTTTGCTAATTACATTGGCGCAGTATGAAATATGAAAGAAAGTCTAGCTGTCACACTTTTTACTTTAGTAAAAAAAAAAAACATGGTAAAGAAAAGAAAAAAAGAGCAAAGAAAGAAAGAAAGAGAAATGGAACAACTAATGACAAAAATGTGACACCTTGCCCTTATGAAAACTACTCTCATGTCAATAATAATAACTTGAGTCAAAAGTCCAGTACACCAAAGCTTATTTTTCCAGCAGTTGTTTTTGGTTTCAAATATCTATTTTTAAAACACTAAACTAGAATCATGTTTCTGAATTCTGTCCCCCAATGTAAAATGTCAATATTGCCATATTTTTATAGATGAAAAACACAATAGCACATGAATACGATTTTATTTGAAAAGTTGAACTTTGTTCTAGGACTATCTTGTGATAAAAAAACATCCATTTGGTCTCCTTCAGTCTATTAAATGGGAGTATTGTGAAAATAATGTAGCCTAGTATGTTAAGAAAAAAAACCCCTCTACATTTCATGTAAGGTACTAGCACCTGGGTATTATCTGTTCAATTCATTAGGGATATTATAATAAAATATTATTACTAAGGCTTATTAGTTGAATACACAAAACATGCAACTTTTTCCAAACAGATGGATATACTTGTCAGTGTCTGTATTTGTTTATCATGCTTTCTGTTTATTTATTGTTTATGTTCCATCATGTGTTTAAAAGGAACGCATTGTGCTGAATAAGAGTCATAATAAAAGTAAACCGAAAGCACTTTTCACACACTGAAGAGCTCTGAGTGTGAACTCTGCTGACTCTGAGTCTGGGACTTCACGGAAAACCAAACCAAAACAGAAAGGGTAGGTTATATTGTTTATTTATTAAATAACAGGACATGTGTTTAATCTATGCATCTTCATTCTCAGTGTTATTCGCGTTATTGTGTTTAGCTGTGTAGCTAACTCGCAAGCTAATGTTTACACATACACTGCTGCTGCTTTCTGCTAGCGTAACTACACATTCTGACACTTTAAACGTATAAGATAGTGTTATGTTTGTGCATCTTGCTTTAATAAAATAGATTTTGATATTATAAAATGAAAAAATTTACGTTTAGTAGCTATTGTGAAAGGCGGCTAAAAATGTCGATGATCGTCTAATAAATGCATTGTTTTGTTTCGAAAGTAGATTAACTAGTACAGAATACAACAACAACAAGGAATCACAATAATAACTTTATATTTTCTTCCTAAATACGGCAGTTACTACAGTAAAACTGCTGACTGTCGTCAAACATTAACCATGGGTTATTGGACTTCGTGTGTGTCATTAATACGATGACTTACTTGCCTTGGTACGATGCTTTAGTGCTTCAGTACGGCATTTTACATGAATATGACAGAACCATGGTGTGTGTGTGTATATATATATATATATATATATATATATCAGAATTCACATGCTATTTGGGATCTGAACCCATCACTGTACCACGATGCAGATCCCATAAGCAAGAATAAGAAATGAACTATGGTATTTTGACAAATTATGGTTACCATTGTACATTTTTGCAAAAGGCACCAGCTTCTTAGCTATTTTATCTTTATATGTAAACTGGTCTTACCTTTACGGCATTTAAAGTTTTAAAATACTAAGTAGTGAATATGAGACAGGTGATCACTTTTCATTTTCATTATTACATGAACTGTGCCAGAAGCGGAAAGTGAAACAAACAGTAAATCTGCTCCATATGGCGACCAACAAGAATAAGATGAGTCTCAGAGAAGATCTGACATGTGCCATCTGCTTTGAGCTCTTCAAAGACCCTGTGATGCTGGGCTGCATGCATCACTTCTGCAGGAGATGCATCGTGTCATACTGGAAGACGGTTAGGGGTCCTGTGTCCTGTCCTCAGTGCAGACAAGAGTTTCCCAACAAATGCTTTCAGACCAACTACTTAGTCGCTGGCCTTGTGGAGAAAGTCAGGGCCAGCTCCACATCTGCATCTGTCAGGTATCTGGAGGTGAGTTGTCTTTCCACAGTCAGGAAAATGCAAGTCTGTAGCTTAGTATCTTGTTTTAAACCAAGTTTTCTTGTGACCAGCGTGACCATCTGTCTTTCAGTTTTATCAACTGTTTATTTTGCCCTACATCAGGAGAAGTAAAGAAGAGAACATACACTACCGGTCAAAAGTTTGGGACGAGTAAAACTTTTAATGTTTTTTAAAGAGGTCTCTTATGCTCATCAAGGCAGCATTTATTTGATCAAAAATACAGAAAAAAAAACAGTAATCTTGAATTATGAAGTATTCTAATTTGTTGAGATAGTGAATTGGTGGGTTTTTGTTAAATGTGAGCCAAAATCATCACAATTAAAAGAACCAAAGACTTAAACTACTTCAGTCTGTGTGCATTGAATTTATTTAATACACGAGTTTCACAATTTGAGTTGAATTACTGAAATAAATGGACTTTTCTACGACATTCTAATTTATTGAGATGCACCTGTAAAAGTCTGTAAAGCCTCATGATTTTTTTGTTTCAAAAATCACAAGCCTTAGTCGTGTGACTTGAAAATTCCCAACACACCACAAATGGATTTTGTATCATCTGCTGCTGGTTCTTGTTTTATTTCCATAGTCTTCCTATAATTTTGTTCATAATAAACCATTTCAGACATTTTATACTG